AAAAGTAAACTTTAGCAGTCCATTTAAAATACTTTCTTATTTTTTTGTAAGTGGTTTACCGCGCCCACAATTGCATAAGGTCACATAATTCTGTCCGCGTGGTTTTATGCACCCCGCATAATTTAGCAAAATTTGATCATTTTTTTGCATAATTTCTGATTATTTTCCTTTATCACTCTTTGTTAAAATTAACTGAATCGCACAATTTCACATTTTTGGACTCAGTTTGCACAATTTCTGAATTTTTCTTGAATAAAAAGACGGAGACAGATAATTTGCGCGCGGGACACATTAAACATTTTCAGTTGGTAGGGAATTTTGAATTTTGCTTGTAAAGCGGCCGAAGCCTACGCTTATCGATTTTGGACAACCAGTGGATCTTTAATGAGCGCAACTTGCACACAGGACCTCCGAGATTTTTCGCCCTTATCCGAGAAGGCTAGGTGTTATATTTTACCCACCATAAGGTCGGGGGTGTGGCTGAAAGACAGCAGTAAGAAGGAGCTAAGGAGTACCAGTAGAAAGGCTCCAGAAAGAGTCCGGAGCCCCGAGGAGGGGGGCAAAGGATCCGAGGGGATGGGGACATAAAGTGAAGACGAAAACAGCCGGAAAGGAGGTGAAAGGAGATAATTTTAGAGCAGAAAATGTATTTTACTTCGCTGTTCATATTTGAACAGAGTAACCTCTCGACCACAAGAGCCCCCACTAAAACTCTACTTGACAAACTACGAACATTTAGGGTCACCATGACCTGAAGGGCCACTTTCGGGTCACCGTAAAGTTTTGCGAGAGAGACGCTTTGAACTTATCGTCATCATCTGGGGTGATGTATCCCAATAAGACTGAGTTGACTAGACATGTAAAATTGAAGGGTCTAAATTCTGTCGATCGGGGTGCATTTTAGTTTAGTTTTAGTAAGAGTTTTACGGCGCTCGCAACTGCATAAGGTCATATGAGCATGCGAAAAAAAAGGTTGTTTCTATTCGCAACAGTTCACTGCACAGCCCGATTCTGGTTAACACCTCTACTACAATGCTAAAATACTAAAAACTTGGTGTAAATAAATTCTTAATTCAAATTATTTTTTAAATATCATGTACAAATATAAATCATGTAAATCACAATTTTCCATAAAGGCCCCTTTATAAAATCAAGGATTCTGTTGGGATCAACGAGGGAAAACAGATCTTGTAATATTTTTGTATGTAAAATATTTCCTTCGGGTTTCTCTGAAGTCTAGACATTCTGTTAAAATGTGTCTAATGGTAAAATCTGTGTCGCATCCGACACAGACCGGCTTCTCATCTCCCTGAAGGGGATATTTATGTGTCAGGGACGTGTGTCTGATGCGTAATTGAGTAAAAATGACCCTATCTCTTCTGGAGAGGCCCGATTGGGGTGTATCATCATCATCATCATCATCATCATCATCATCATCATCATCATCATCATCATCAACAACAACAACAACAACAACAACAACAACAACAACAACAACAATATACATCGCTATCACCATAACAACAATATGATCCACAACAATAACAACAGCAACTAAACCATAACTCAACAATAAGAACGGGGGTGGGGGTGGGGGTCGTGGTTTAGAGGTTAAGGTGTTTGCCTCTCATTCCGTAGACCCTGGGTTCGAAACGTGACAACGATGGAATATTTTCTTCTCTTAAAAGTGTCTCCTTTCACCTCCCTGCTCCCTTACGGCAGTCTAACCATGTTCTGTCGACACCTTTCGTCTCCAATTTTTGCCCCCACCACCCTCCCCCCTTTGCCTCCTCCTCTAGGTTTCTGACTCTTTCTGCAGCCTTTCTACTGTTACTCCGTGTCTCCTTCTTGCTGCTGTCTGTCAGCCATGCCACTGATCTTAGGGCAAGTAAGATCTAACACCTAGCCTTCTCGGAAAAGGGTGAAAAATCTCGGAGGTCCCGTGTGCTAATTCCGCCTATTAAAGATCCCATGGTGGTCGAAAATCGTTAAGAGTAGGCTTCGGCCGACACCCGGGCAAAATTCAAAATTAATTCCTACCAAACTGAAAATGTTTTATGTGTCCTGAGCGCTCCTGAGGCCTTTGGCAGTTGCGAGCGCCAGAAACAACAAAAGAAGCACCCCCCCAACAACTTAACAACAACAACAAAAACAACAAAAGCCACAGCCCAGCAACAACAGCAACTACTACTACAACTACAACTACTATTACTACTACTACTACTACAACTACTACTACTACTACTACAACTACTACTACTACTACTACTACTACTACTACTACTACTACTACTACTACTACAGCGACCCCTACTTACCGATTTGGTCCAGGTATTCCTTAAAGCAATCCACATAGATAAGTTTCCAGATGCCCCTGCAGTTTGCCATATTCACAAAACTTTCCAAATCACAATAAAACTTTCTCCCTGGTGTTTACTTCGTCACTTTCAGGTAGCTGGACAAGACACACTTTGTGAAAAGATATTACAATTCGTGTTTCTGTCGACTAGTTACGTAATCCGTGGATTCACACACATAGATATAAATATCAGTGAAAAGGAGGCGGTGCTCTATGGGGTGTTTGGGATAGCAGAAGCGGATATAGAATCTAGTAGGATCTATAGTATCTATAGCAAGATCTAGTATGAACAAATTTTGCCGAAGCGACGAGTTTCTAATTTTGACAAAATTGCGGAGGAAGATTGTTCAATCTTGAAAAACAAACAAACAAACAAACAAACAAAGTAATAAATAAACAAACAAACAGACAAACAATGAAACAAGCATTGAATAAATGCATCAGCTTGGGTTCAGGCCTGATAGGTAGGGTCTAAGCAGCCACCTATAATAAATAATAATAATATATAACATTTATATAGCGCATTTCCAAAAAAAGTAGCTCAATGCGCTTTACATTGGAATACCCATTTTCAAAACCTTTCTTACTACTTCCTTTCTTCTCATGCAATATATATTTATTCACGCACATACACACACACACACACGCACACACACACACACACACACACACACACACACACACATACACACACACACACACACACACACACACACACACACACACACACACACACACACGGACTGTTTTCATTCAGATGTAGGCACTGAACAACTTTTTTTTAAAAATAACATTAAAAGCTTATGAAGGATAGGCCTGTAGGAACAGAAAATGCTTAAGATGTCTTTTGAAATTGAAGCTATCAAGTGTTCTTGTTTAACTTAGTTACCTGGGTATTTTGTTCCACATAAAAGGACCAAGATTTGAGAAAGATCTCTCTCTATATGATTTGTATGATTTTACTGGTGTCACAAGTAGGGTGTTATCGTTTGAACATAGGTTTCTCCCTGGCTAATATATACTGATAAGTTCTTGTAGATAAAAAGGAGCAGTTTTATTTGCACATTAAAATTTGAAACACAGATTTTAAATATTATTCTTTCTTTTACATGGAGCCAATGCAGTTCTTTTAATAGTGGAGTGACATGGTCTCGTTTTTTAGATCTTGTTATCAGTCTAGCGGCACTGTTTTGAATGACTTGTAAACGATTAAAACATTCGTTGTACAGAACTGCTAGGAGTGAGTTACAGTAGTCTAATCTAGATAGGATAAGAGATGTTACCGATGTTTTTGTGGTTTCTTCGTTTAAGTAGTTTCGAACTTGGCTTTTCCTTTTCAGCTGAAAAAAAGGGATTTGGACAGAGATCCTACAAAAGAACCCATTGATAAGTGGTGGTCAATATATACACCGAGGTTCTTGACAACTTTTTTACTAGATGTCATATGCCCATATAAATCAATGTTGACACTTTTCAGATCTTTATTTAATCGTCGATTATTTATAAGAATGATGTCTGTCTTTTCTTCGTTTAGATTCAATTTCTTTACTGTCATCCACTATTTAATTTCATAAAAACATTGTTAAGTGATAGAAATCATGTTTGGCAGATCTTGATTGGTGCCATTAACATACATTTGGGAATCATCGGCATAAAAATGATACTCCAATCCATGATTTTGTAAAATGCTTGCTAAGGGCTGTGTATATAGCGTAAAGAGCACTGGTCCAAGAACGGACCCCTGTGGAACTCCATAATCGAGCCTGACCTGCTTTGAAAAGCTGTTTTCAATTTGCACTGATTGAACTCTTTCTAGTAAATATGACTTAAACCATGAAAACACAGTACCTGAAAAGCCAGATGAGCGCTCAAGCCTTGTGAGTAAAATAGAATGGTCAATCTAAGTTGTACGGTGTAAGATAATTATTTACAATCGTTTTAACGGTCATTATAGAGTTTGTATGTCTTTAGACGCTGAGAAAAACAGCATCAGCATAATAATAAAATTGGGATTTTTCAGGGATTCGTCACGACGCAGATGTTTCTAATCTGAGCAGATTGCTTTCTCCATCAGTGTCAAGGAAAGGTGTCGCTGTTATAGATATTTCTTGTCGTTGTTACAGGTTTTTCTTATCAACTCAAAACCAATACAAAAGATTGATAGCAGCTAGTGTTGTTTCACCAATCACGGATCACCACTCTTTTTTATTCTTGGATACTCTGATAAAAACTCATATCATCCTTGTTTGTAGGTATTTTTTATTTTACTTTATTTTATTTTATTTTATTTTATTTTATTATCTCTCTTTTGTAACTTCTTAATCTTAAGTAATTAATTAATTAATTAATTAATTAATATCTATTTATCTGTGTTTATTGTGTTTTGTTGTTGTTCTTTTTGGTTACTAATCTGTTCTGAGATATACCAACATTGTTTAATCAATGTGTAATAGTTGTGTAATAATCATTTACTAAATCACTAAACTGCTAATGCAATCATAAGATGGTATCATTAACCTGCCTGTTACTAGCGTTGCCTGTACGTCTGCACTGTGGTACGTAGGTGTACTTGGCTTATCGTATTCAATTCTTATCTAATACATTTTTTTATAAGAAATTATCTATGCTCCCTTTGTCTGAGTAACACTTAGTAGACTGTTTGTTAATTATCATTATCTTCATAAAAAATCTTTCTGCTATTATTTATTTATTTTAAAAAATTATTTATTCATTTGTTTATTCATTTATTTATTCGTTTATTCGCTTATTCGTTTATTTATCTATTTGTTGTTGTTGGGGGGGGGGGGGGTGAGGGGGGTTGTCTAGCCCTAAATAGATCAATTAGGAGCCTAAGGTGTTAAGAAAATTACAGCTTGTTGCGCAGCGTAGAATTATTCTTAATCACCAGCAAGGGAGATACAGAGGTTGTGATGTAATCTTCTAGTGTTGTTCCAGGTCCGTATTGTAACGAGTGTTGTAGATAACGGTACTCGAGACTGATTCGTCGTCTCTACAGTACAGAGTCTTTGATCGTGACTTAGATTAGATCTGATCGTCTCTTGATAGTGTGAACAGAGTCACGCCTCTTGTTTGCCATTTTAGGTTCTTGTGAAATTAACACTTGGTAGGCGTATGGTTAGGGTTCAAAGACTCCTTTCGACACTGTTATGTTTGTTGTAGGCCTATCTTTTGTATATATGTGTATGCAGTGGCGGCTCGTGCATGGTCTGTGAAACTGACCGGCTATCATTCACATTGATCTCCTTCCTCCACCGCCACCCTACCTTAACCTCCAACCCTCATAGCTTCCTCTCACCCCCCCCCCCCCCCCCCCCCCCCCCACCCGGCCGCCCTCCCACACACATACACACAGAGACACAGTTTATACCTGTATCTTTGCTCCCCTTCCCCTTTTCACAAAACATCACACACTCAAGCACACGTAGAGTCCTTGGGAATGTGGTCCCCTTCCACTGAAAAGTCTTACATAATGATAATGTTAACGAGCTGTTTTATAGTAGTCTGTAGAAAAAGAGAACCAAACTGATGCCACACCACTGACGCAGTCCCAAGCACATCAAGTCTACGTAAAATCCAAAACAATAGGCCCACAATGCACATAGCACATACGCATTGAATAAAGCAAGCCCACAACAATATCCAATCGCAATTCTATTTCAAATACTAATTTTAGAGCACAGAATCGGGCTGGGGTGAGAACGGAGAAGGGAAAAAGGTAGGGGTAGGGGGCGGAGGTGTGGAAACTCATGCGGCATTATGGAAGACCTGACAAAATTATCAAGCTTGTGAAGACCACTTATGATGGAACATAATATTGCCAAGTCTTCCACGAAGGACAACTCTCAGAACCATTTCAGGTAGAGACAGGAGTGCGACAAGGATGCTTGCTCTCACCTTTCCTCTTCATACTGGCAATTGACTGAATCATGAAGGAACCCACCAGAGGCATGCGGAATGGAATACAGTGGATCCCTTGGCAGCAGCTGGACGACTTGGACTTCACCGATGACCTTGCATTACTCTCTCACACACATGCTCAGATGCAAGAAAAGACCAAGGAACTCAACAGCTTATAAAGGAATGTTGGCCTACGTATACACCCGGACAAGTCGAAAGTAGTGAAGCTAGGAAAAGTGTCAAGTCTGCTGTGACAGTGGAAGACACTCCCCTGGAAAAAGTGGACTCCTTTACCTACCTTGGAAGTGTCATCGATTGCAAAGGTGGAACAGAGGCAGATGTAAAAGCAAGAACCGCCAATGCAAGGTCAGCATTCAAGCAATTATCAAAAGTCTGGAAAGCCAGCAACATCTCACCGCGCACAAAGATTCGATTCTTTAATCCCAATGCCAAGTCTGCGCTCCTCTACGGCTGCGAAACTTGGAAGACAACAAAGACAGTAGATGTATGAGAAGTATCCTAAGAATTAAGTGATTGAGTGATGAGGCAGGTCTTCCGGTAAAAGTGCATTCCTGTGTTTAATAAATCGTAGTTTATAGAGAAAAAGATAGTTCATTGTAGGCTACTTTTTGTTTGATTTTAGGACTTTGGTATCGTCACTGTCCCCTCTCCACCGATGGCCCAATAACTGTCAACACTCTCAGCCCCACAGAGAAAGGGACAGTGAGCTGTTCTCGAAGTGACGACCTTTTCGTGTACAAAACTTTGACCTCCCCTGCCCACTATCAAACAGTTTTTCCCACCACCTCAGCCACTCAAACAAGAAAACCTAATAATTACTAACCTTTAGTGATTTTTAAAAAAAGACACTTAAATATGCAGAAACAAGCCCAGTAAACAAAAAGCAGACCAGATGCTTACATACTATTTTGTAGAGTCATCATCATTGCCTTTCTCACTCTGCACCAGGGTATAGGCCACGGACAAATACCTTCCACCTTTCCCTATCCAGGGCTAGCCTCTTGATGTTATTCCATGGCTTCCCACTTTTCTGTACATCGATTTCTGTGATTCTTCTCCAGGTTCCACTCGGTCTTCCCCTTGATCTCTTACCCTGTGGATTCCAATCCAAAGAAGGTTTCGGGTCAGAAGAGTCCTTTTGGCGCTGTCCGCTGTCCTTCATTGTTCCTGCTGATGCAGAAGCTCCTCCGTCTCCCAAGATAGAAAAATATAATGCTGTGTTTGTCCGTGTTTCTGTAACTTACTGGGTTTTTTTTACTTGGTTGGGTAGTTGGTCCTCCGCAAACTGGCACTTTTCGGGCGAACAGACCTTTGCACTTTTACTTTTAGTCGCCTCTTACGACACGCGGTATCACGGCTGGTGTATTCTTTGCTCCGGGCCCCCCACCTGTAGGGGCGAAAATTTTGCAGAGTGTCTTCTGTTTACATGTGCTAGGATTACGGCGAAAAAAATACTCACTTGGAATTAACCTACTGTGATTACGCTTGATGTATGCAAATGAACAAATCCATAAAAAGGAACAAATTTGTTTATCTTTGACGTTATACGAAATTTAATAAATTTAAGTTCTTGCCCCAGCAAAATTTTATGACTTACACTTATAGCTCTACGTCGCCGTGTTAAGGAATGTAATTATAGTTACATTGAAAAGAAATAAAGGCAAAACATCTCTAGTTCGTCAACAGACTGTTTATTTTGTTACGGTTGTATTTTGCTACACGTTGCGGTTGTAACGTGGCATATAATAGTGACACTTTTTAAATGGCACACATTTATAAACACAACCTCTTTCTTTATGTAGAAATGAAAAGCTTTTTCTTCGCCATACACCGTAATAAGTTGAAGAACTGATCCAAAGAGACTTATACTTATTGATGAGCATTGTCGTGTCAAACTGAGGTTTTCGCTTGCTTCTTCCCTCAAGCCAAATGTGAGGCATGCGAGCAAATGAGTTACTTTTGGTAATCCACGAATGGAAATGTCAGCTGAAAATTGACACATCGGATTTGCACATTTTAATTGAGCCATTTCATTCAAATTGATTAAACTTTAACATTTCTTTTATCATTTCGCACAATGAATTCTACAAACCCAACCTATACATTTGACACATCTGTCTGTGTCCATAGAGCTAGAATCCGAGAAGTAACTCATTTTGTCAGCGTGCCTAACAAATTTTTATATGGCTGAAGTTTTAATGAAAAGGCCATGTCAGTTCTCTGACGGCAAGGGGTAGGTAATATATGCTTAGGTTCTGAAAACTGCTCCTGTTCTAAACTGCTGTTAATAAAGACTGAGAAGATAAATCGGTTGTACTTTTTTTCCCCTCAATACTTAAAACTAAAAAAAAAAAAAGACATTTGGGGAAATACATGAAGCTGTCAAAGTTCACCCAGATTATACCAAAAGCGGCACCTGGGTTAATTTGGGTTTGACTCCCCTGGTCGACAGAATGTAAATACATGACAATGTATTGCTCTACGCGCTCGGGTTGGTGCTCAGGGGAGATAATCTAAGCATGAACTGAATGGATGATAAAAATCAGCGTTGTTTAGCTTTATCCAGTTCTCATGCGTGTCTGTCTCTCTCGTGTGTGTGTGTGTGTGTGTGTGTGTGTGTGTGTGTGTGTGTGTGTGTGTGAATATGTGTGTGTGTGTGAATGTGTGTGAATGTGTGTGTGTGTGAATATGTGTGTGCATGTGTGTTTGTTTGTTTGTGCGTACGTTTGTGTGTGTGCGTGCATGTTTGTGAAAGAGGCTGGAAGGTAGCACAATTGAGAATTTAATAAAGAGAGAAGGGTGCGTTGAGAAGCTTGCACCAAAAGTGCAAGGTCGTTTTTTCCCCCATAGTCGGGTTGTATAAAAGAAAAAGCTATATTCAATGCACTTAAAAATTAATAATGGAACGGCTATTCTTACGATGCAAACCCCATTTTTTTTAAATGTGCACGGGCCAAGCGCTTCATTGTCTAACGCAAAAGACCTCAGTTCGATTCCTGTACAGTTGCAGACCAGGTTGCTTTCTTACTAGATTCAAGTTTTTACAAAGGATTTTACTGTACACGTAACACAAATAGATCATTTTAATTCCGAATATTAGAGGTACATATTGTATTGCAAGAGAACAACACATGGACACGGAGAAAAGATAAGGACGATAGATGTTTGAGGGTGAAAGAAGGAACATACCACCACAGAGCACCCACCAACCACTCACGCTTTTTTACCTATTTAGTTCAAGGCACTCCCATGAACGTAATGGGTGGTTGGAGGGCGCCACTGGTAAGGAGCTCCAACACAGTGCGTCCAGCATCAGACCAGCAACAGCACAGCAACAGCAAAACGACGGGTCAAAATTTTAGATAATATAGATAGCACTACTTTATTTCCCCTCCGTTGTTTCTGTCTTACCATTTTCCAGCACTAAATGACCATCATTGTGTCAATGTGCTTCTTTTTACTCAAACAAACAAACAGAAGTTAAAGGGTGTATTGGAAGCTTTGAGACGATCTCCACGCCCCCCCCTCCCCCCCTATAACTTTCATGTCTTGTTTGTTTCCGTGAACGTTCTTCCACCTACTTCCTTCTTGTTTGGAACTGTCGCGTGTGAGGTGAATGTAAAAATAACTTACATACAGACACGTGTGTGCGCTAGCACACGCACGTACTCACGTACTCGCGTCTATGCATGAACGAAGGCACGCACGCAAACACAAACAGCACACACGAGCAAAACACGCACACATATGGCCACACACTTATATCTACTTTTCTTTATAATATTTATATATATATATATATATATATATATATATTATATATAATATATATATACAATTAGACATTATGAGAGTATGTATTATTTAATACATATACTGAACGCCATTAAAAACGCAACGTTTTCAAAAAGTCACGGGGATTTGTGGTCTACTTTTTGCTGGACCGGACATTCGGTCGACAGATCGGAAAGAAAGATATTTGGAAGGAAGACATAACAAGAGCGGACAAAAGATGCCACCCCTATGTCAGAGAGCTAGTGAAGTACGAGTGGCATCCCACCAGCGGGGGGGGGGGGGGGGGGGAGGGGGGGTTACACCCCTGTTATGGGACAGCAAACTATATTTATTTTATTCCCCGGTCAGCTCGGGAAAGGACAAAAGAAAGACGATAGAAGACAGACGATATACCAAAGCAAGTGTCGCCCATGTGCACCTGAGCGTAAATGTCCATGGGCGACAAATCGCCAGTGAAGGGGTTGCACCTCCTGCTGGCGGAGCAGTGGGTCTATATATATCCCCGACCCACTGAGGGTATCAGAGTCATTTCCATCGAGTAGAAGGTCCTGGTTACGTCTGTGTGGTTTAAATCCCGTTCAAAATTCATGTAGACTAACCAAAAACTAGGAAGTGGCATATTTTAAAAAGGAAATATCTATGAAGGAAACAATATGTACAATTTGGATGCAAAGTTGCAACATTTTAATACGATGCAAAACAAGGTTTTCAACAAGGGCATTCAACAAGTAATGGGTTCAAGTGGTCAGCCAACTTATCGCTTAAATGAACATCTAGTTTGGGCACTTGCAGAGACCAGGGTTGCAGCTACTTCGTTCACATTGGTTCAAACACCAAACGTCGTAAGTTGGTCGTTGTCCAGAACAGGTCCTTTCATCAATCTCGCAAGTACAATATTGTTCTGGACAGTTGTCAAATGCGCAGTTTGACGAGCACCAGCTGTCAAGATCACTCCATGCACTGCAGGAGCCAGATGAACAGGTGCATTTTAATCCAGCTACTTCTCCGGGACATTCCGAATTGATGCATTCGTCAGCGCATTTCTTGTCTCTGGCCTGTCCTAGGTTACCTCTGCACTGAGTTGGGGGTGCCTGGGCGCAGTGGCGAGGCCATTCATCCGAAAGCCGTGTCCAACAGTGGGGCGGGGCAGCAGGCCAGCCAAACCCACCACAAACAGGAAGTAAAACAGCGTCGACATATTGTGGTAGTCTGGAGAAAAATAGTAGTTTCGTCAACAGAAACGACAATGTAATGGTGACTACAGAAACATAGCAAACCTCAACAGCTGCTGCAACAGGAACCTAAACAACCCATTAAATTACCTACTTTTGCTTTGTGGACAAACTATAAAAAGACCACAGAATTTGACGATATTCAGCAGGCAGACCAACTTTCATGAGCGGGACACGTCCAAACTAGAAACACCCAACATGGAAAGCACAACTTGTCTGTGCGAAGCAAAGCGAATAATTGTTTTACACAGGCGCACAGATTGGGGGGGGGGGGTAAAGAATTCTTACGGGATTAAATGAGAATATCTTCTGCCTGTAAACAAATCCATTGAATGGAGAAAGACATGGTACAAAGACTTAAACAGACAAAGAGGTATAAATTATTCAGGATTTAAAAGTACATTTTATGCAAGAGTAAGTGAGACACCTAAAAAAGGTACTTCAGTTGTGTGGAAAGTATTTCGTCGAAACGAGCAGTTATTGCATTATTTCCATTGATTGAGTAGGTCAGTGTTTTACGGCACTATCGACTCCTTGCATTGTCACACGTTTAAAACAACTTAACTTAAATGCCTACATGAGCACTATAAACTCTAAGCTACAATAAGCCTGACTAAAAGACAATATTTATCAAACTCGTTACATCTTCATAATGAAGACATTACACCTAACGGCGTAAGGAGAGAAGAACTTTACCCGCTGCAAAGAACAACGTTTGAACATGAATTACAAATGGCGGCATCTCCTCAGACTGAAAATTCTTCAACTAAAAAGCAAAAGCAAAACAAACTAACACAAAACATACTAGATCTAGATCTAGTCACAAAACGTGGTCAATCAAACATAGAACATACTCACCTCAGCAAATTTTTGAGTATTTCACAGCAGAACTTAGCAAAGATATCGACGTGAGGGAACTGTCCCTTATATATACTGTGACAGTGTGCTGTACCGCCCCTTTTCGCACCACTCTCGCGACAAAACTACAACTTCACGTGCACCTCGTCTGAATGAGTATTAATCTTTGTGTTGCTAATAGTAACTTGATATTAACCCTCCGCTTCCCAAGCCGACGCGTTGTACTGGTTCAATTATATAAAATATTGCAATTGTAGATATTTTACGCCCCCATAGACACCGTTTAGATGACCTATGAGGACAGTTACTTCGACCCT